AGACGGCTCAGACAGGTGCGGGAGTGGCTGGGGACCTAGGGTGCAGGTCTTGCGCATGCAGTTCGTCTGTCTAGGACTACGTATGTAGACGCGTCAAGCCGCATGCGATATAGTGAGTTGTGAGAGAGGGAGAGGTGGATGTTGTGATCCAAGTTGCGAGCTTCGAGCGTGGAGCAGGATTGCCGAACTCACTCTTGAGTCAAATCCGATCATTCTCGGGTTTCTAGATCAACATGAACCCGATCCATTTTTTGAAATCGGTCAATTTGCGTTGAACCTGATCCCGAACCGTATAGAAAACAAGTTGACCCTAACCCAAAATTTTTGGGTTGGGTTTTTTAGGTTGTGTTAAATATTGACACCTCTAAGATTAGCCATGTCAGGTCGGATCGACCCATGTTTAGGGCGGGTCCAGGTTCATATTTTTGAATTATTTGTGCAATTGGGTTGTGTTTGAGTTGGATCGATGGAGGGCAGATCAGTTTGGGTTGAATTTGAACTCGACTCAGAAACCCATTTTGCACCCCTAGAAAAAACTGCTCTAAGCATTCAAACATCACCATTGGACCACTACAATTTGATTATTGCCACTGGAACATTGTGTTTTTGGTCACCATTGATAGACCATCATTGTTTGACAATAACCATAAAACCATTGCCCAACCATTACAATTATAGCATCGCTTTATCATTGTCATCAGACCAACTCTAGACCACCATCATCTTATCACTATTGCCCAATTTTGATCTCCAGACCACCACCAGTAGATTACGATCATTCGATCTTCATTGTTTAACTATAATCTTTTGACAACTATTGCTCAAGTACTATCTTTCGATAATCAGTATCGGACCACTGTCTTCTCATCACCATCACCCAACTATGATCGTCAGATTACGATCGCCCGATAATTATTGCCCAACTTTGATTTGACTATGATCCTCTAATACTTGCCACATAATTGACCATGATCTGTGAACCAATTACAAAGCCTGACTAAAATCCTTGAATGACTATCACTTAATCAAGATCTTCAAATCACAGTCACCAAACTACGGTACTCATACCATCATCACTTAACTATTGTATTCTAACCATAATGGAATTTAATCATATATTACACTTAAATCAAAATAAATTCAACAATTAAAAAAAAGTTAATCTTAATGAAAACCTAATTAAAACATGTCAACCTAATTTTTCTTTCTTCTCTCATTTAAATAATTATCCATGTTAAAAAAGTAATTATTTAATAACTCATAATAAATAATTAGCCAATCATCATTGGCATGAGCATGGGCAAGCACACATACCATATCATATGTTGGGGGGGCTCACCTTCATGTGAGCTTATTAGGGTTTGGCAGTTTACAACCTCCTCCATCCTACTTGTCATTTCTTTCCAATTTCAAATTTTTGGGGCCTCTCCTCTGACATATAGGACTCCTACCTATCACTAATGCAACCCTTGCATGCCTTTCTCTCTCTATGTCTACCCTCCCACAAGCATCTAATCAACACAACAGACAGATCTCAACACCATTTTGGTTTCACTCACATGCAATGAGAGCTAGAGAGAGAGAATATGGAAATTGGTAAGAAATTCAACATTTTTTTTTTGGAGGGAGAGAAAAAATTTTAAATTTTTAAATTTCAATTGTCTTTGTTTATTGTTTCTTCTCTTGCGCACACAAAATGATTCCATTCTCACTCTTTCCTCTTACTTTCCACTGATACCTCTTTCACTTCACTTTTCTTTATTTCTTTCTTTAATATATGAAACTGTAGACTAAGGACTTTCTGCCAAAACAAAAGTTTTTTTACTCTTTCTCACTCCCCTCTCCAACAGCCCAACTTCTCCTATTTTTAGCTCTTTAGATCTCTCCTCGTCTTCCTTAAAAATCTAATTTTTGAGGCCTTTTGTCTCCATCCACCAATGGAAACTCCCTCTAACCGCCAGGAAAGGGAGAATCAGGCGGCCGCCGCCGCCGCCGGCAATGCGCCACTGACGCCGAGGTCGGCTGATCCGAACTCCTACCCGACCACCTTCGTCCAAGCCGACACCTCTTCCTTCAAGCAAGTCGTACAGATGCTCACCGGTACAGCGGAGACCGCCGCCGCAGCCGCGGCGGTTTCGCCTGCGAAGAACCTGATCCCGCCTGCGGGGAAATCCAACGGTCCCAAGAAGCCAGCTTTCAAGCTCTACGAGCGCCGAGGAAGCCTCAAGAACTTAAAAGCCATCAGCCCCCTCATCGCCGGATGTGGCGGTGGGGCCGCCGCCATCTTCTCACCGAGAAAGCAACAGGAGATCTTGTCGCCGAGCATGCTGGATTTCCCCTCACTTGTTCTCAGCCCTGTGACGCCTCTTATACCCGACCCCTTCAACCGATCTCCGCCACCGCCACCTGCAGGATCCCCAGCCGCCGTCAAGGCTGAGGATCGCGCCATCGCCGAGAAGGGCTTCTATCTCCACCCCTCTCCAAGGTCAGATGCTGAGCCGCCACGGCTACTTCCTCTGTTCCCGGAGTCATCTCCAAGGTTCTCGTCTTCTTCTGCTTCTCTGTCTCAATGAACGAGAGAATTCCTCCCCTGTTTTTGCTTCCGATCTGTACTTCGCTTACTTAGTTCGAATTAATTGCAGGAGTAATTTGCTTCAACTGTAAAGCTTATTATCTATTAATTGCTGGATTATGTTCTATCTTAAGAAAAAATTTGATATCTTACAGATTGATTATCTCTGATTAATCTGATTAACCAAAAAAAATTGCATCTTTGTTTAATTTTTGTTCATCATTTGCCTCTTTAGTCATTTTGTGTAGTGGAGTGTGAATGATTGGATTGAGAGAAGGTGGGACCCAACAGGCACTTAGTCTTCTGTTTATGATTGCAAGCTAAATTAATTAATTTGCTAATTTTCACTTAATGAAGTGATTAAATGATAATATTGGATGGAGGTTGGCTAAGATCTCCTTATCAGGCCTGTAAGCTTTGGGTGTTGAAGGATGTGCAGCTTTGAAAGAGCTGGTGGGGCCGGAGGGCGTTTGGCCACCAATTTTTTTTTTTTTTTTTTTTGAACTTTTTTATTTTTTTTCCAGCTGTGTGGTCGTTTCCTTATTGCAGAAGCTCATATTAATTACTATGATGTCTTGTCTGCCGCCCAACACAAGATGTGCACGAATCTTAAAGTAAGGTGGTATTTAAAGTTTGGTGCTGGTCATGTGGTTGAAAAAAAAAAAGGTAGGTTTGAATCTGCTTAGGTGATAACTCTCATTAAGAGCTTAAAAATTAACATATGATATTTTTAATTTATTTAAATTAATGACATATTATATGTACATATAAATAATAAATATATTGATAAGCTTAAAATAAGAAAGTTTTTTATTATGAATCAAAATATTAAGATATTTATATATGATTAATAAATAATAATAATAAAATAAAAGTGACCATTTTAGTTGATTTTAATGAAAATTTAAATTATTAAGGAAATTTGTTTTTTATTTAAAAATTATTTATAAAATATATTATTTTGAATAAGGGAAAAATCCGGATGGAGTTCGTGTTCGAACTTCAATGAAAGATGGTCCTATCATTAATATATATTATGTATAATTTTGTATATAATTTGTGTTTTAATATACACAGTATACATGATCTTTTCATATTGGAGTTCGGAAGCTGTTTGATCTTCACACGTAATAATTTTTCTCGTTTGGGATAGCTTTGACAATTCCTTTTTTCCTACTTAAAAAAAAAAAAATACTAAAAAGCCATGTTATAAAGCAGTAAGAAAGTCGTCTCAAACGAAACTTTAATGATAATTTTTTTTTTTTGGGTGTGGCAAATTTAGGCCAATTAAGTTAAAGTTATACATACATAATCTACATGAGTTTTGAACTCAAGAGCTCTTAGTTGATAATTAAAGCGCCTAATCAACTGATCAAAATGAGCTTCGTTTTAACGAAAAAAAAACCAATCAAGCAAAATTTTTTTTTTGATCTTTACTTTATAAAGTCTACACCAACTTAGACTGTTTAACAACATCTTATAACTAATCTATTTGAATTTTTTTGGGTTTGAAAGGTTGTAATGATAAAATAAGAGAGTTTATGCGAAGAGTCAACATTTTCGTGCGAAAAATCTAAAAATAAAGGAAAATAACGAAGTGAATCTATTGAAACGATTCTACTTGTGCTTGTGGTTGGTTCAAAATGAAACACTTTCTCATGATTGCGAAAGGTATTGATACAACACAGTAGACAAATAAAAACTACAACAAAGTCTATACAAATGGAGTAAAAATAAATTATGTGTTAGAAGTTGTTGAAAGTTTTGTGGCATCAAAGTTATCTTTTCAATTTATAAATTATTATTTAAAATTAGCACAAATTAATTAGGTACAATTATCATATTATTTAAGTTTTTCTCACTATTTCAATATATCAAAATTTTAAGATAATAAAATATTACTTTCTTTATTTTAATTAATTAAAAAAATTAAAATTTATCAAATCCATGGACCTTCTATGACTTGAACCCCATGTGAATCACTTAGTTTGTATAATTTGAAAAATAATTCACATTAGTCCTCTAATCATTTGACTAGGTGAGTCAATGAAAATTATTTCAAGCAATACTATCTAGAACTTTCTTTATAATTTAATTACTCCTTATCAAATGATGACATGATTTCCTTTTAAATATGAAATTCTTGGGAACTAGTAGCAATGATCTATAGTTTTCTCATAAAACCTATTTTATTAGTTATTGCAAGCTTAAGGAACGTGGATTTGTAAAACGATGGCTATGGTTTTTTCCATCTTCGTCTGCCGCTTCGGTTGGGTAACCTTTCTTCCCTAATCCTCTATGGTTTTCTTTTCCATTTTCCTTTCTATGGCTGAGAATCTGTTGAAGGATCCTGGATTCTTGGATGGGAAGGTTAAATCTAGATCTTTTAGAGATGTTTTATCTGGTGAGTCGGTTTCAATGGAATTTCCCTTGCTCAAAGTGTCTTCACACCATGGTTTGCCGACTTTGACAATCTCTGATGAGGAAATGTTGTCTCTTGCTTTGTCCTTCGAGTTTGATTTAGTCGGAAAGTTCGGTCTGCCGCTTGATATGATCCATAAAATTTTCTTTAATTTAAAACTTATTGGAGATTTTTCGGTTACTTTACTGAATCCTAAAAATGTGTTGATTAGGCTTGTCAATGACTTATATTATTATAGGGTTTTCTCTCATCGATCCTACTTCGTGAGCAACTACTTCATGAAGCTTTGTAAATGTACTCCATATTTTGACATAAATGTGGAGTCTCCCATTGTCCATATTTGGGTTTATTTCCTCTGTCTGCACCTTCATCTTTTTGCCCCCCGAATTTTTCATGGCTTGGGATCGCTATTTGGTAGGCCATTGAGAATGAATAATGCAACTACTAATGGCTTTAGGCCCTCTATGACACACATATTAGTGGAGCTAGATGTTATGAAACATTATACTTCTCAGGTCTAGCTTGGGTTGGGGACTGTTGGTTATGTTCAATCGGTTGAAATGGAAGAGTTTTCCTCATATTGCTTTCATTGTAAATCGTTGGAACATTCTAAGGATTGTTTCATGGTCCTCTTTCTGAATCTAGGTGTTGCTCCTTCTGTTAAGGAGGCAATCACAACTGTTGTTCATTCGCAGGATCAAGAGGGAACTAATTTTAACCCTGGAAATTTTTCTGGTGGGGAGACCTTAGGTGATATGATGGAAAATCAAGATTTTGTTTGTGCTCAAGAGAAAAATTATGTAGTTTCTCCTTTACTTGATAATGGGGTGCATGGTAATATGATTGATTCTTCTCAGACCCAATATGGTGTTGTTTTTTTAGACCTGATGGTTTTGTTTCGCCTCATGTTAATGCCATGAAGATGTTGGTTGTGTCGGATGAGGAGATGTAGAGGAATGGTGTGGTTGCAATAGAAACTGATATTTGCAATACTTCGGCTGATGGTGTGGTTTGGCCTATTCTTTTAGAGGGACTTGTTTTGCCCTCTCCTGTTGGGATTGATGGAGTTGTGGATTTGCCTTTGGTTGGTGGGTCTGCGAGAGCCCTTCTCGTTGTTACTTTAGTGGTTATGTCCCTTAAAGGCTTGCTTGCTCAATTTATTTCTTCTTCAAGTGTTACTTGTTCCGGGCTTTCAGTTCTGGATGTTGTTTCTCCTTCACCATCTAGTGTGGATGATGATGATTTTGGCGATGACCAAGTTGAGTCGCTTTAGGAATTATACGGATTAAAATTTTGTCGGTTGTTGATAAAGTTCTCTCGCGTGCAAATAAATGTCGGAGGAGAAAATCTAGGAAGTAATTTTTGTTGTTGTGGTGTGTGCTTGGTTTCTGCTTAGGAATTGGTGTTTGTTGTTGATTGTGGTTTAGGTTAGCTAGGGTTTGTCTTTTGATTGACTGTTTGGTTTGTTTTTCGGCTCGGGTTGTCTGCTCGGCCTTTTTATTAATTTTGGGGGAGCCTTTTCTCTCATGTATTGGTTCTTTCTTTTCGTGTTTTGTGCAGGTTGTTTCTACCTTATGGCACTCGTGATGGGCAGCTTGGGTACTTTTCTTGGACTGTTGCTGGGGAGTTGTTGCTTTGGTGCTTTGGACTTTTGTACTTCTTCCTTTTTTTTTTTTAAACTTCCTCCTTGTTGTCGTCTTATCTTTTGCTTGGTTTTTTAGCCTGTATTTAGATGTATCTAAAGCTCGTAGGTTTTTATTCAAATGATATCCTTTTAGGGAGCATACGATCCTTTAAGGACATGTAATTTTTATCATTATTATCGCGTAGGCCCCGCCGTGCATTTTATCCAAAAAAAAAAAAAAAGGAATGTAGATTTGAAGAACATTATTATCTAGATAGATATGAGTATTATTTGATTTTGAGCTTAAAGTTGACTTAAGTAAGCTTAAACGCCTAATGATTTTATAGAAGGTTGTTTAAGCTTGAAATTTAAGGCTCTTGGGAAAGCTTCAGCTTTCTTGATGCTTTATAAGGTAGCTTTTTAGTATAAAAAATTTTTGAACTAAAAATTTTAATACTCAAAAACTGCTTTAAAAATCAATAATGAAGTTGTCTTAAATGCTGTGCAGTTTAGCTTTACCACATCACCCATTTACTGTGTATCACGGCTATGTATCGCTGTGTAATGAGTGATGTGGCACGTTCTGATTCGCCTCCAGATAGCGTCCGTATCCGCACTTGTCGGTTGTTGATAAAGTTCTCTCGCGTGCAAATAAATGTCGGAGGAGAAAATCTAGGAAGTAATTTTTGTTGTTGTGGTGTGTGCTTGGTTTCTGCTTAGGAATTGGTGTTTGTTGTTGATTGTGGTTTAGGTTAGCTAGGGTTTGTCTTTTGATTGACTGTTTGGTTTGTTTTTCGGCTCGGGTTGTCTGCTCGGCCTTTCTGCTAATTTTGGGGGAGCCTTTTCTCTCATGTCTTGGTTCTTTCTTTTCGTTTTTTGTGCAGGTTGTTTCTACCTTATGGCACTCGTGATGGGCAGCTTGGGTACTTTTCTTGGACTGTTGCTGGGGAGTTGTTGCTTTGGTGCTTTGGACTTTTGTACTTCTTCCTTTTTTTTTTTTAAACTTCCTCCTTGTTGTCGTCTTATCTTTTGCTTGGTTTTTTAGCCTGTATTTAGATGGATCTAAAGCTCCTAGGTTTTTATTCAAATGATATCGTTTTAGTGAGCT